TTTCTCAGCATCATCCCTTCTGAACCGGCTCATGATTCACCAGGAAATGCCGATATCCGGGCTGGCTGGCTGGGTGACTGGCTGGATTGAGGGCAACTTGGGGCTGGCCGCCGCCGCTCATCCGTCATGAGGTGGGGCTGTTGCGGGGAGATCCACCCGCTGCACAAAGTTGGGTCTTTCTTTCCTACTTTTGGTCGATCTTTTTGGTTCCTGGCTGGGCTCGGTTCGAAGACACGGAGGCGGGAATAGTTTTCTTGCCGTTTCACTTGAAACAGGGTTGTTGTTGTTCCTTGACTCCACTCAGAACAACAGCACCCGAAATTGTCTATCCTTCACCCCAGTCATTACAGTCCTCGAAATGCTTGTTTCCATGAAGAGTCATGTAAATTCTATGTCTATTGAGGTGAGACTTCTTTACCAGACATTACTACTATGTATCATGTACACCATTATATGCTGAACCCGCTTAACCCCATTTCTTTCTTTTTCCTTCCTCCATGGTCAATCACTCTTCCGATGGAGCCGTTTCACTTCGCTTCTTCTTGAACAGAAACCCTCCCAAGAACAATAGAATAGGCACACCAGAAACACCAGTCAGCAAGGCCAAAGCCCACGTCATGGTCTTCCAGCCCGCATTCTCCCGGATAAAGCCCGCAAAGAACGGACCAACAATGGTTCCAGCAGCATACGCCGAGTTGAGGATGCCATACGACAAAGCCATGGCACCACCCTTACCGAAGATATCCGGGTCCTGTGCTTCCTTTTCCGCCACAATGTATGACGCCTCAACCAAGAGAGGAGGCATCAACGAGGCTATACAAAAGCCGATAAGGACCAATAATGCGCATAACAACACCTTCTGGCCCATGGAATCGTGCGTGACAAGACGGAGCAGCACCATGAAGGGTATGGTGGTGAACAATGCTCCTGCCGCCATGTAGCGTCGTGCATTCACAAACTTGTCGTTGATCCAGCCGAAGAATGGATCGGAAATATGAGGGACGGACAAAGGCACGAAAATCAGCCCCTGGCCTGTCTGGTCCCAGCCAAAAGTGTCCTCGACGAAGAGAGGAAGGACGCTGTCAAATGAAGTCAGGACCACGGAGACGATGAAGTACGCCCAGATGGTGACTATCATGCGCTCCGAAGCGAGAAGAGTAAGCACAGCGCTTCTGGTCTTTTTGGGGCTCGCGTGTCCAGAGGTTTCGACAGCCTGCTGTCCGACTGAAACCGGGTCATCTGACTTATCATCAGATGCACCAGCGGGCAAAGGATCAGTAGCATCTTCGATATCAGAGCACTTCTCCGTGGTTTCAGACGGCGAAATAACCGGACCTTGTTCCTTCTCCTGTTGCAACCACTTCACAGCATGCTTCTTCTCAATCATGACCAGCCGCAAAACAATATCCACACCGACGAGAGCAAATGCCAGGGCAAAGACGGCATAGTATCCGCCACGGGCGTAAATAACACCACCAAGAAGTGGCCCACCCATGATTCCAAAGGTCATACCCATGCCGATATAGCCCATTGCCTGCCCAAGGCCATCTTTTCCCACCGTGTCGACCAGCAACGCGGCTCCGACCGTCCATACAACCGCTGCAGATGCGCCCTGGAAGATGCGGCCAATGATCCAGAGACTAAGGTGAGTCCCTACGCAGAGTAAAGCCGTGGAAGCACCTAATGCCAGCAATCCGACTATGAGTGGCCACCATCGAGACTCAAAGCGGTCGGCGATGTAGCCCGCAACGGCTGGATATCACAGTCAATTAGCATGAACATTCTTTGAAACGATATTGCAAGGGTGATACTCACGCGATGCTGCTAACAGCGCTGCGCCATACAATGCTAACAAGATAGACGTCCATGATTGTTCTATCCGATGTTATAGTCAGCATCAACCCACCATCGGTAGAACATAAAATGGTCAACTCACCCTGATCAACAGACATCCCAACCCTCTCATGTAAAGCGGTAGGAGCCACGGGAACAATCTACGATTGACTTCAACATCAGTAATCTAAACCCAGACATAACAAATCCAATGGTACACTCAATCCACGTACCAGTCCATAAAGTAAAACATCCTATCCATCATCCGGTAGTTAGCACGTGGGTCAAGATACCAAGCCAAACTAAATAAAAAAAAGCAAAGCAAAGCATACCGTGAAGACAGCAAAAACCACCACAAAGATAATGAACGCATTAGATGACCTCCACTTCAAGAATACCGGTGGCTTGGTATCACTCTGCCCTGGCACTAAGCCACGCAGATTCCAGGTCATGTTATAAGGCTGTAGTGTATGTACTAGTACGGCTTGGATGGGATTGGGTCGTTCCGCAACATCGGGGCCGACTGAACTTTCTGCAATGCTTCGGGCGGGTGTGTGGCTTTTGACAGAAGGTTTAAGTGTAAATGCAGATCAGAACGATTACTTAAGATCAGGAAGCTAGATAGGATTTATTATTTGTATCAGGAATGGAGGTCTAGTTATACGTGTATGAGGGAGTGGCCGATGAGGGTCAAATCCTGTTGCTATGTGATCGGCTCGGCGCCCGCGGGGCCCGAGCCCAGTCTTATCGATGGGTCACAGGCTCATCAGTGGCACGGCATGAAATATTTACAGATTACTGCGGAGATGAGTGGTTGAATACTACTGGTTCGGGAATATAAAAGTAATATTGGTGACCAATTGTTAAGTGGCGTATTGATTTTCGTGACTCATGGCATAATGCTGCCTTATGGGGGCTACTGCAGGTTTCATATTCGCCACCGGCTTCATAGCTTGTACATCTCGCTGCGGCTGCGCACCCCGTCAAAAATGCAAGTGTTATCCAAGGGCACATACTGCCTGGTAATTACTTTCAGCGCCTCCTGCGCGACTAATCCTCCGGTGAGCGAGGAGATGTTGTGTAATTCACCGCCTTGCGTCCTCCGTAGCTCCTGTGCCGCTTGTAGGATTCGCTCCCTTGCGTCTCCGTCCTCAATAGTGGATGCACCTTCAGGTTGAAACGCACCAAGGATGCGGTCTATTGCAGAGTCCCACACCTTCTCATCATCCAAGGCCTCCTCTGATATCTTGCCCGCTTGGATGTCGGTGATTATATCATCCAGGGCCTGGAAGGCAAGGAAGGTCGGCACAAGGGAGTCTGGAATATCAATGTTGTTCCGAATCGCCTCTAAAGTAGTTGCCTCCCCATCCACTATCGGAATATCGCGGCCATGGATAACCTTGATGTGAGCCGCATTCTTGCAGAAGACCTCAATATCCTTGTCCGAAGCTGGGGCCGGGCGTGGTCCAAGCTGTGCTTCAAGGCTTCGGACGATCTGGGTAACTTCTTCTATGTCCTTGCGAGCCTTTGACTTGTAGATGTTCTGAAGAGAAACATAGTCGGCTGACTGAGCCTTCATATCGGGTAGAGAGCCCGGTAAAGGAAGTACACTGTGTCTCTGGTAGTATTCACGGATGGCCGCCGCGATAATCCAGAAGTTGGCCGAGTCCGGGGCTGGGTGCTTGCATTCCTCCATCTCGAAGATCTCACGAAGGGAACTGCGCAAGCTGAATGGGTTCAAGGTCTTCAAAACCGCGGCAACAGCCTCATCATAGTTCTCCTCTCCACCTTCTGGGTTGCTTGTTCTTGCACTAGACCGCACCAGCTCCCTGAATTCTGATTTCTCTTTGTAGTTCGATGGTACCTGGCCATCATGCGCTTCTTTCCACTGCTCTAGGTGATGCAGAAGAAGCAAAATGTACGGGACATGGCCATGCTGGTGATCATCCAGGCTGTCCAGGTTGCGAATGCTAGCACCGGCCGCTGCCAGCTCAGGCCACGGGTTTAGGAGACGGAGATCCTGTGTGCTTTCAGGATCTGGGTGTGTCTCTACTATAGGGAATGCAGCCGGGAGCTGGAGAGAGAAAGTGGAATAGAATCCAACCGAGCGTGTGTAAATTACTGGGATGCCAAACTCTTTAGCAGCCTTGCAAATGGCCTCCAAAGAAGGGCGTTTTACCGGTCCAGACACCAAGACCAGCTTGTGCTGCGGAAGAAACTCAGGGTCCTTCAGCAGTTCTGAGATTGACTTGTGCTCAGTCTTCGTTAGCTCTGCAACAGGATCGAGCAGTTGGGGTGGATGAAGTCACCTTAGTATAGAAGCTTCCATCTACGTCCGGGTTTAGTTCTTGTAGCAATCGACAGGTCTCCTCGGCTCGGGACTTGCCCAAGCTCTCTTCTTCCAAGAAAAAGTTGACCCCGAGGTCCGGCTCGGTGACAACTGCAGGGTCCACAATCGTGAAACCTCCGACTCCAGGAAGTACAAGGTTCTTAAGGGTTTCCACGCCGACTACACCGGATACACCCGTGTTGTGCTTGCCCCAGGGTTCGTCAGAGTTGACGAGAAGCACGCGGGACTCTTCTAGAGCTTGCTGTCCACTTGCTGCCCACAAGCGCAATTGGCGATCATATTTCCTCTCTTTTGAGGACGGTCCAACCAAAGCACTCGGGAAGGCCTCTGCCATGAGGGGCTAAAGCGGAGAAGAGACGGAGATAGACAAAGACAAGCTGGATCGAAAGAGGGGGGGGATCAACAAGCTGGAAAAATGTTCCAGTGACAATCCCTGGTTGGAAGAAGATGGGGCAACACGATCACAAGCACCCGAATGGACCGATGACTTGTTGAGGTATTGATATTCCGATCAAGTAAGAGCGATGGAATCCATATGTTGGCTGCAGTCACATGATCGATGCGATGCACGGACCCACCAGAGCTGCTGGTTGCCTTGATGCCTGTATGCCTGAGGCTGCAAATGCTATGACGACACAACCCCGCCGGAGGAAAAGACGCCGAACAACATTCAGTCAACTCCGGAATTACCGCTGAATGCTGCATTTATCAGACAGATCTACTCTGTAAGCGGATGATATAAGCCGTCAAGATCTCAATTGCTATGCCATGAGATTCGCACTTCCGCGTGGCTGTCTGTCATCCCTGTAAGTGGCCCAATCCTTTTGCTGGAAACTTTCTTTGGGCTTGTCGCATCTCCCCCCACCGCGGGCATCCACTACATTTGACGGTTCCTCCCCGAATTTGCAGGGGCTCGATTCGAGGGTTTCTTGTCCCCGGAATAGTCCGCCTACTAATCTTAAAACAACAGACCCCGGCTCGGCAGTTTCCCCTCATCTTCTATCTATTCTCGTGTTCGTCTCTGCTTACGACCAGATCGCTCATCTCCTCCCGTTGTGCCCCTCTTCTCCCTTCCCAACGCTACCTTTCGCCGTCATTCCACCATGGCCAGCGTCGTCGAAGCCGCAAAGCGCGCTGCCGGTAAGGCTGCCGTCGAGAACCACTACCCCAAGGATGCCAAATACGTCGGCATTGGCAGTGGTTCGACCATTGTCTATGTGGTCGAGGCCATCAAGGAGTCCGGAATAGACACCTCCGCCACCAAATATGTCCCCACCGGCTTCCAGTCCAAGCAGCTGATTGTCGGCGCTGGTCTGACCGCGGTGGACTTTGATGCCCTCCCCGAAGGCACGGTTCTGGATGTTGCCTTCGATGGTGCCGATGAGGTCGACGATGAGCTGAACCTGATCAAGGGTGGTGGTGCTTGTCTCTTCCAGGAGAAGATTGTGGCTCTTCAGGCCAAGGAGTTCATCTGTGTGGCTGGTGAGTACATTATACGCCGATCGATAGAGTCTGGAGGGACATACGCACTAACTTCCCGTTGATAGACTCCCGCAAACTCCAATCCCGCCTGCTCACCGGCTGGAAGTACATCCCCATCGAAGTCGCTCCTATCGCGGCCCGTCGCGTTCTCGGTGCTCTCAAGGAAATCGGCAGCATTGACCCCGCTATCCGCGTGAACTCCGATGCCAAGCAAGGCCCATTGAAGACCGACCAGGCCTTCTACATTATCGACGCTCCCTTCAAGACTCTGCTGACCCAGGCAGACGTGGCTGCTGGCAAGGACGGCAGTGGCAAGGACGGCGTGTGGGAGGTCCACGCCCTCTCTCAAGCCATCAAGCAGATTCCCGGCGTTCTCGACGTGGGTATCTTCTCTGGCGTGACAGGCCCTCAGGCGCAGGCGCTCGGTGGTGTCGGAGGCCAGAAGCCTATTGCTGCCTACTTCGGTATGCCTGACGGCTCGGTGTCTGTCAGAAAGGCCGCTGCTTGAATGGGACTGCTCCCTAACGCCATATACGATACGTCAAGAGATTAGAAGAAAAAGTACAAGTACAAATGATACCATGTAGACTGTTAGCACGAATCGGACTATTTTACGCTTTCTATAACCTGGTGCCTCGTAACTGTGATATCAATGAACCAAAAGTAAGAACAAGAACACCAGTCTCCGCACGCCGGTCATCAAGACAAAGTAAGTTAGTTTCATAAGGCGACAATATACTCAAGCCTATTTGGCGCCCTTCCCCTTCGCTTCCGTCTCTCCAAGCTCACGTACAAAGATCTTAACCGTCCCTTCGACAACATCATCTTTCCCATCCTCGAAGCCCGGGCTGATCGCGATCGCGAGGTACTTTCCATTACCGCTAAAGTCCACGGCAGCCACACTCGACGGGTACTTCTGGTACTGTCTGATTCTCCTCTTCGCGATACCATCCCAAAGCGCGACCACTCCATCACCACCGCCAGAGGCAAACGTACCATGGACCGGGTGGAACGCCAGTGCATTGACAGGGTAGACGACGTCGACATCATCCGCCGTCTGTCTGTGACACTTGAAGGCATATTTGCGGGCCTGCGACTCGGCGGACGGGTCGAACCATTCGACCGCAACACGGCCCTCAATACTGGATGACGCGTATCCTGCATCGTCAGGCATGCACGCCACTGAGCGAGTCATAAACTTCAAGCTGCTCTCCCTTCGCTGCCAGGGCTCGATTTCAATCTTGTTCGGGCCCGTACCCTCCGACTGAGCGGTGAGCATAGCCAATGCTTTGAGATCGTAGATGTGTAGGGCGCGAGAAGCCATTGCGACGACGAGCTTCGTAGCGGTAAGAGACATGGAGAAGGGCTTCGAGGGGAGGGGAATGATAGCGGGGGCTGTGGCGGGATCGTTCGTCGGGTGCACATGCAACGTGGAGTCCCAGGATGCGGATATTACTAGGTTGTGTTCCTTGCTGAAAACGACACTGCGAACGCCAGCTTCGTGGCTACTGAGGACAGTCTGGGTGGATGATGCTACATCAATTCTGTTTGGTGTCAGCAGGGAATGGATTGAGGATGCGCCGGTTGGTATCGGAGGTGACATGCACTCACTTCTTGACGTCCCAGTCCAAGCCAGCCGTGTAGATCTCATCCTCGGTTGCGCCGAAACACACATCCAACACCGGAGCACGATGCTCGAACTTCTGTAACAGCTTTCCTTCTCCGACGGCGCCATTCTCGTCGCGCAGGTCGTACAGATACACGTTCTTATCCCATGAAGAAACGACGATTCGCGTGGAGTCGGGGTCGGGCGAGAACTTCAAGGCGGAGATAGCATCCGTCGGCGGGGACGCGACAGAGAATTGATCTGGTACCTGTCAGTGGAGGATGGTTGCCACATATACAGTTCGCGACTTACTTGACGCCATTTTCTTTGCTTGAACCTTCAACGAGCCCAATTGTATATCGTTGTTGATCGGCCCGTCGTCATGGAAGCTTCACCTTCAGACCATTTTCTGCCGTCCACCACCGCCCTGGAATATTCTCCCCGCCATCATCATCGATTGATTGCATTGACGTCGGACATTCTCTAGATCGAACACATTCTTGTTCGCAGATCTTCATCATGCCGTTCGCACAACTCGTGATAGGGCCCCCGGGTGCCGGAAAGTCAACCTACTGCAATGGCATGCACCAGTTCCTCGGGGCTATTGGTCGCAAATGCTCCATTGTGAATCTGGACCCCGCAAATGACAAAACATCTTATCCGTGCGCGCTGGACGTTCGCGACCTTGTCACGTTAGAGGAGATCATGAGTGAGGATCAGTTGGGGCCTAACGGGGGTATTCTGTATGCGCTGGAGGAATTAGAGGAGAACTTTGATTGGCTTGAGGAGGGACTGAAGGATCTCGGAGGTATGCGCATTCTGCCGTGAAGATGTTACAGGAACAAACGCTAATGCTTATACACCATAGAGGACTACGTCTTGTTCGACTGCCCGGGCCAAGTTGAACTGTTCACACACCACTCTTCCCTCCGGAACATATTTTTCAAATTGCAGAAGATGGGCTACAGAGTACGTCCTCCCGGTCCCATCCGGAGTTAACATGTCAATGCGATACTAACTAACGGACGTTGCGCAGCTCATCGTGATCCATCTCATTGACTCCTACAACCTCACTCTACCCTCGATGTACATATCCGCCCTTCTCCTCTCCCTCCGCGCCATGCTCCAAATGGATCTACCTCACCTGAACGTCCTCACCAAGATCGACAACCTGTCGAACTATTCCCAGCTGCCATTTAACCTTGACTACTATACAGAAGTGCAAGACCTCAGCTACCTTCTACCACACCTCGAAGCCGAATCATCACGGCTATCACACGAAAAGTTCGGACCGCTCAATAACGCGATCATCGACCTAGTGGAGGAATTCGGACTAGTGAGCTTCGAGACGCTAGCCGTAGAGGACAAGAAGAGCATGATGAATCTATTGCACGTTATCGACCGTGCCAGTGGCTACGTCTTCGGACCCGCCGAGGGTGCCAACGACTCCATCTGGCAGGTTGCTGTCCGAGAAGGCCTGGGACAGATGGACATCCGAGACGTGCAAGAGCGGTGGCTTGACGCAAAAGACACTTACGATGAGCACGAGCTAAAGCAGCTGGAGGAAGAGGCGAAAGCCAATGAAAAGGCAGCCGAAGAGGCATCAGCAAAGAAACCCAATATGAACTTCGATGATGACGACGAATACGACGATCTGGGAAGGGGATCGATACCAGATGGCGGCGTGAAGGTTATACGAAAATCATGACATGACATGAAATCTATCCCAGCAACCAAATTCTATCCACACACACATACATACATACATGCACACTGTATAATATAGGGTATCTTTAATGAAAACGATCAAGACAAAACTCCCAGCACCCAAACCTAAGCACCCCCACCCTGAAACATAACTCCCATACACATCCGTCCATCATCATCAATCATCAATCATCATCCTCACTCTCCATCACCACATCCACATCCACACCCAAATCCATATCCCCCTCCCCACCAGTACCCGGCGTACTCACCTCCCCACCCACATCAACCAAACCACCCAACAACCCCTCCAAAACCCCACTCTCCTCCGCCTCCCTCAACCTCACAATCTCCCTCCTCGCCCTTCGAATGGCCTCCTCCTCAGCCTTGCGCATCGTCCCCGACACCCTAATAACCCGAAACACACAAGGCCTCATGAAGCTCGACCTCTTCGCTCCACCCTCAGTAAACCCGGGAACCTGCGACATGCAAGTCAACGCCGTCCAGACAAGCCGGAAAGACGCGCGAGGACACCGAATAATCGCCGTCGAAGTAGCGGGGGAGAGATATTTCACTGTACACCCAACCATCAGTCTCATCATCACAACAACAACACATAGCAAACAGAAAGCGCAAAGCAAATCAAAGATAAAGGCGGGGGAAGGAAACAAACATACCACTAATACCCCCCGCGCCAGCCCCACCTAATCTACCAACACCGTAATCGCCAAACATGAGGGAGACTTCCTCTCGCACCATCTTTGCTAGGAGACCGGGTGTTAGGGCGTCGGATGTGGGTGAGTGGATTTGTAGCTGTGCTTGCGATTTGGATTTAGATTTGGGGTTGCTGTTGCTGTTGCTGTTGTTGCTCTTGGTGCGGGAGGTGGCTGCAGGCCATGTTGAGGGATCAGGATAGAGAATGTCGAGGAGGATGTAGCGGTGTTTGAGGCGGACCATTGTTTAGTATTTTGGTGGTATGTGGTGGAGGGTTTGAGGTGGTTGCGTTGTAGTGGTGGTAGGTTGATAGTTGGTATTTGGTGTGAGTTGGTTTGCGGGATGATTTTTGGAGAGAGGATTGTTGCACGCCACCTCCTGGTAGAATGTGCGTGTGGTATAATGGCAATTGGTCGGTGGTCTGAATTGAGAGTTTGACGTCGATTGATTATGTTTGAAAGCTGGAAGATGGTAGTTTTATTGAGCAGATCGGCGCGGCAGAGGCCGTTTTTCTGCCGCATGTGGACCTGCGCTGGATATACCGCCTACTCGGATGAAACATACTTGGGAACCGCAGATCAACTAGTTAATCATGCATAAAAAAGTCCACTACAGCAATACATCTACGTTGATCTAGGATTTTAATAGAATGCACATTTCTTTAATCGTTGCGTGATATTCATCAACCTTTAACAGCGAGTCATGCCACATGTGCCACTACAGATTGTAAGTTGAAATAGATGAGATATGAAGCGAACCAAACCGATGCAGACAGAAACATGGGTGAAAAGAAAACAGGCCATCACAACTCCGACGTCAACAATGACGGATTTTATGACTAATCCATGAGATGTAAATGTATTAAGTAAAAAATTAAACGCTGACCTCGACACGGCCCTCGGAGCCACCCTTCTGGAGGGCGGGGAGAAGGTAGGTGATGTCATCCCAGGGGTGTCTGTACAGACCAGTGCGGAGTCTCTTCTGGTCGAGGTAGTGGGCAATGAGACCAATGGAACGACCAAGGACGAAGAGACCGTTGAGGACACCCATCTTCATGTAGTCCTCAACCTCCTCGGAAGAGAAGGCACCGCAGTTGCGCATCAGGTCAACGAAGCAGACAGCAACGCAACCGTCGACGTTGAGGATGAGGTTGTCCTTCTTGGAGGTGGTGACAGTCTCGACGGCAATGGCGTAGTCGAGCAGCTTGGTGCTGGGGAAGTGCTTCTTGGCGAACTCCTTGACGAGCTCGACACGGAGATCGGGGTTGTTGCGGGACTTGACACGGTGACCAATACCGGGGACTGTGCATAGTTAGCGAGGCTGTTCGACATTACAGGTACAATAAAAGGTTCACTTACTCAGCTTGTTCTCCTTGCGCATGGTGTCAACGAAGTCACGGGGGCTCATGCCCTTGTCGAAGGCCTTGGTGAACTCCTCAGCAGCGCCGTCCAGGGCACCACCGAAGCGAGAACCGATGGTCAGGAGACCAGAGACGAGAGCGCTGATCAAGTCCTTACCGGCACGAGTGGTGATGATGGTGTTCATGGCACCAGACACGGCAGGACCGTGGTCAGCAGTAAGCATGAGAACCATCTCAAGGAACTTGCTGGCGTAGGCAGGGAGGCGGCGGCGGAACCACAGAAGAGACATAACACCACCAATGCCAATGTCCTCACGGAAGACATCAGAGATGGGCATACCGGCGTAGAGGAGCTCCTGGCCACGGTCGTCGGAGATGGTGGAGATGAAAGCAGCGGGCTTACGGACGAGACCC